AGGATCATGACCTGAGCCGAAGGCAGTCGCTTAACCAACTGAGCCACCCAGGCGCCCCTGAAGTATTTCTTCTATGGTCGCTCTCGTGTGAGCTCAAATTTGGAGGAAGTAGATTTGGTGACTAGTCTGAAGTAGACTAATTTACTATTAGCAGCATGATGACAGAATGGTGACAACATATAAATGCACCAGCTTCTTTTCCACATACACCCAGTCAGCAGGAGCAAGCTTGAAACACACATACCAAAAATCTTCTTGATGACATTTAAAAATATTTTTAAATACTCTTTTAATTACAGCGCTTCTCAGGCCTAATGGTAGAGCTTGTGTGTTTCGAGCCCATGTTCTACTATTCTCTTGGAATTGACAAGCATAGAACTACCTAAGAATTGCAAAATTAAATGATGGGGAAAGTAATTAACATTTATTGCAGGCCCATGACATGTCCAACATTGTCCTGATGCCTCACATTAAATTCTCTTAAGGTTGACATTTTTTACCGGACAGGGAATGAAAGGACAATGAGGTTAAGTAACCTGCCCAAGGATTCAGGGCAGGGGCACCGGGGAAATGTGATTCATAGCAACATCTTATGAGTCAACCATGACGCAACATGCAAACACTCCATGAAATAATTCTTGTCCAGAATTTTCCCGATTACACACAGTGAAGTTCTCTCTCTGTTGTTGCTGACTGTTAGTTATTTTCTGCGCCAATCTGAAGCCATAAGTCTATAGTTTTGGCCCTTGTGGCATCAGATTCTCTTGTAATTTTAAAGGACAGCTCTGGAGTTTGCTTTCCTTTGACATGTTTTAACTAAGAGATCAACTTAAGTGTTTGGTTATTATATCAACACATGGAGCTTAGTTCACTCCATCGGCATGGGTCTGAGTTTTTAATGGCTAGTGAGCGTCCCAGATGTGCAGTGCAGAAATGCAAAGGTAGTCTTAGCCTTCACTGTAGCTCAGATTTAGGTTTAAGTGACTTCCAAGGTGGATTATTTGTTGCTGGGTTTTTTTACACCAACTAATTTCCTTCAAAATTAGAAGTAATACATACGAGAGAAATGATTAAAATATATGCCCATCGCTCTCCTATTTCTTAAGGATACCAATACAAAGCCCCAGTGATAAACGGGGCAAGGAAAAGGTTAAGGGCAGAGAGTACCTGAAGTTGTGAATTTCATCATTACCTTGACGACATCCTGAGTTCTGAGTCACCCCACATCTGCACCAACCTTGTGACCCAGGCTGGGTAACATTCCTGAGATGAGCTCTGTCCAGTTATCAGCTTGTTCATGACCGTTCCCTTTGACCTCCTGATGGTGCCTTTTTGCCTTACTTAATTTTGTTGGATTTGGCCTTTTGCTTATAGTTCTGCCCCATGAACTCAGCTAGTTGGAATTTCCATTTGGTAAAAGGAGGATGCTAATGGTATATTTACTACCTTATGGTACTGTTGAGAAGATTAAATAAAACAATTTAGTAATGTGTTTAGGATTACGATAGTGCTTGACACTCAGGAAACCATTAATAGGTGTTAAGTTTTAATTTTAATTTACCCCTGTGTATATGCAGGATTTTCACTCATATTATCTTGGGAAAAACCAGACTATCTTGCTTTTCCAGGGTTCTCATGGATTCTCTAAGCCTTCCTCTGATACCCCACTGTAACTTACACAAGAAAATTAGCAAAAAGCAGGGGTGTTTATTAACTTTGTGTTTGAAAAACAAATAGGGATAGAGACTTTCTTACTTACAACTTGATGATGTACATTCATTTCCTACCCAGAAATGAATCGCAGCTGGGCTTAAAGAATAGAAAGTGGCCCTAACTGTGTTTCAGAAAACCAATTTTAGTAACACAGATTTTAGGTTTGTAAACCGACATGACTTTAAGCCTCTGGGGATAGCTATATAGAATTTCATGCTGTGTGTGTCAGAAAGAGGCTGCATTTACACTTTGTCCTCTCTTCTGTAATTTCTAAGTTGGTGTATGGGTTATTGGAGAATATATAGAAAAAAGCAGAGCTGTCAGGTTTCCTGTTTCTTAGCTCTAACCTAATGTACCAAAATATATCTCAACATATCAGAGCTGAAATTATTTTGACATTCCTGCACACTGGCTAATTAAGAACTCAGCTATAAACTATTTAAAACACTGGTCCAGTTTATTTCTTTATATTTTCATTTATTGCTTTGTGATTGCTTATGAGATTAAAATGTATTTAATTATATTTTACTATATGTATTTTCCCTACTTCTGAGGGAAAAATAACCAAAAATTAAGTCAAATAGAACCCACTGGGTGTCTGAAGTGGGTTATGACCAAAACCATTCCTTTTTTTTAAAAGAGATATGTAAGAGAAATTCTTTCAGAACATAATAAAGGCCTTCCTTCAGACTAGGAACATTATTTTGGTCATCTTTCAACTCACTGCTTTTTTCCTCCTCCAACATTAAAGGCATTCCAGACAGGAAATTCACATATGGGGTGGAAATTAGCAGATAGAGACACATTTTCACTGAAGAATAGCGCTCTCCTATCTAACACCCAGCTTTTAGAGATAAATGTAGATATTTCACTCTCGTGAGTCATGGTTCGAGAAGTATAAGGAATAAAATTTTCTGTTCCAAATGGATGACATTAAAAAAAAAGGGGGGGGGACTGATCAACAAGAACTTTCTAACTAAACCCAGAGTCGTCCTTCACCTGGGACAGAACCAGGTCGTCTGTCATCTGTACTTTATAAACCTCCACTGGGGCCCAGGGCAAGGCTCTCTCTACTAGACTTGTCTTAATTGTGGGGACTAAAGAGTATTGACATTGGATCTCTTCCATGTTCATCAAGGAGAAGCAGCTGATCTTCCTCTAAAGAGCAACAGTTTCAGTCGGTTCCCACTGATAACGTGATGGCATCAAAATGAACTTGAAAATAAAAATACCATGCCTGTGTAGTTCTGGCAGTGGTTCTAGACTGAATTTATTATTTATAATTTTATAATTTATTATGTATTTGGATTCATTTTTGTGCCAGAGGAGAAAAATTAAGGATTCAAATACAATTGTAGTTTCTGATGTCAGAATCAAAGGCCTCCGAGAAGTTGGGGACTTCACCTGGAGTAAAAAATTCTGTTAATGAGCACTGAATTAGTTTGAATTCTAGTCAGGCAATTGACCATGAGGGACATTTTTACGTTGCTATGGAGTGTTTCTTTGAAGCCAAAATCATCTCAAAAAGCAATGAATACAAGTCTGACACAACTAACAAGCTAGATATAACTAGAGACACTCTAGGCTTTTCATTTCTTGGGTGATAGTTTTCTTTTAACTGGTCCTGCTTATACTAAGGAGATAGGCCAACCACTACTTGCCTTCGGTCTTCGAAGATACACGTGCTTATATGAGCATGTATATGAACAATGGAGTTTCAAAGGAGTTTGTAGTTTGAGATTATTTTCTAGAAATTTGTGATTTGTGCTTCATCAACAGCTGTGCCATTTCTCTGGAAAGTATTTTAAGATTGTGAAGCCTTTTATAAATGGCTGCCTCTGCCATTTTGTACGTAAGTGCTCAGTACTTAGTATCTGAGCTGCTCATCAGAAAGCACTTAAGAAAAAATAATGCTCCACTTCTCTTTACCATTGACAAGCTTCCTATTTAATCACGGAGTCTTTGATCTCAGTTTATTTCTTCCCCTTGCTGCAACTAGACACTGTGTAATGGAGCTCTTTACTTTTTATGATGCGCTTTTTAAGAATTTTTGATGGTGGCAGAATACAGGTAACACGAACTTCACCCTGGTCACCATCTTGAAGTGGCATGCTGAGCTCTTTACTTCGTAAACGGTAGCCTTCTTCTAGTTTTCATACTTAGAAGCATCGGGGTCCGTTCTGGCTGCTAAAACAAACTACCGTAGACTTGCGTGGCTTATAGATAGAAGTTTATTTCTCACGATTCTGCAGGCTGGGAAGTCCCAGGTGAAGGTGCAGGCAGATGAGGTGTCTGGGGACGGGTGCTGGGCGGTCTTCTGGCTGCGCCTCACCTGGGGACCAGGGCCGGAGCACCGCGGGGCCCCTTCTCCGGTACCGCCCACGAGGGCGCCACCTTTCTGGCCTCATCACCTCGCAGAGGCCCCACCACCTAATGCCATCACCTTGGGGGGGATAGGATTTCAGCCTATGAATGGGGCGGGGAGAGGGGGGCACAGATGTTCCCTCCCGGAGCCACGAGTAACTCCTTTTTGTGTTGTGTCCCGTTGTGCTCTGTTACAGAGCTCCAAGATGGGAGGCAAGCTGAGCAAGAAGAAGAAGGGGTACAACGTGAATGATGAGAAGGCCAAGGACAAAGACAAGAAGGCCGAAGGAACCGGGACGGAAGAGGAGGGAACCCCGAAGGAGAACGAGACCCAGGCGGCTGCCGAGACCACAGAGGTGAAGGAGGGCAAGGAGGAGAAGCCCGACAAGGATGGCCCGGACGCGGCGGCCGGCAAGCCCGAAGACAAGGAAGGCGACAAAGACACGGCAGCGGCGGCCAAGGAAGACGCCCCGAAGGCGGAGCCCGAGCAGACGGAGGGGGAGGCCGAGGGCAAGGCCGAGCCCCCGAAGGCCGAGCCCGAGCCGGCGGCCGGCGACGCCCCCCAGGCTGCGGAGCCCGAGGCGCCCGCGGAGGCCAAGGCGGATGACAAGGGCCAGGAGGCCGGGGAACCCACAAAGACTGAGGCTCCCGCAGCTCCTGCCGCGCAGGAGACGAAAAGTGACGGGGCCCCGGCTTCAGACTCAAAACCCAGCAGCACCGAGGCTGCCCCGTCGTCCAAGGAGAGCCCGGCAGCCACGGAAGCCCCCAGTTCGACGGCCAAGGCCCAGGCCCCCGCAGCCCCCGCAGACGACGCTGCCGAGGCGCCCGCCGCCTGCGCCGAGCAAACCGTAGCGGTCAAAGAGTAACACGGACAGCCTCTGGAGCCCGAGTCCCGCCGACACCGCCTGTCTCTCTCTCTGTGTCTCTCTCTCTCTGTCTCTCTCTCTCTCCTCTACTAACGCGTTTCAAATTGGAAGTAATGATACGTATTGCCCAAGGAAATTAAAAAATAAATAAATAAAAAGGATGTTGTCCCATGGAGGGAGGGAGGGGGTGGGGAGAATCCAAATAGTATTTTTGTGGGGAAATATCTAATATACCTTCAGTCAACTTTACCAGTCAGTCCTGGATTTTAAAGATCCGTGTCTGAAAGTACAGTACACCTTCTGTACCTGACTGCCGTCACGTGCGCTCCGCCGCGAAGAGCCGAATGATTGTCTTCCGCAGGGGGGTTGGGAGTGATGCGCTTGATTCTGCCCGCACGGCCTATGCCAAGGCAATCAGATCTTTATGAAAGCAGTATTTTCTGTGTTTTCTTTTTAATTTACTGCTTTTCTTATTTTGATATTTTTTTTAATGTTGTGGATGAATGCCAACTTTCAGACAGCCCACTTAGCCAGTCCACGTGTATCTCGATGCCAATACTCCATTCTTCCTCCCCAGGTATTTGTGGGAGTAACAAACATTCTCTCATCCTACTTAGCCTCCCTAGATTTCTCATGACGAGTTAATGCATGTCCGTGTTTGGGTGCACCTGTAGTTCTGTTTATTGGTCAGTGGAAATGAAAAAAAAAAAAAAAAAAAAGTCTGCGTTCATTGCAGTTCCGGTTTCTCTTCCATTCTGTGTCACAGACACCAACACACCACTCATTGGGAAATGGAAAAAAATAAAATAAAAAAAAAACACAAAAAAATGTACAATGGATGCATTGAAATTATATGTAATCGTATAAATGGTGCAACAGTAATAAAGTTAAACAGTTAAAAAGAAATAATGAAGACTGTTGGTTTTCTTTTACCACCCCTTCCTCCTTGGTAATTACCTCAGTAGAGAACAGAGTGCTCTATTGGACATGTTCCTGGTGATATTTCGAGAGAAATGTAAGGCAGTGTGCTCACATTTTTGCGAACGTTTTCTGTTTAAAGAATTAGCTGGTGGATCAGTGTCAATCCATTATCTTGGAGAGGCTAAACTGAAAACTGACTTTGGCTATGGATATGCACCCTCTAAAAATGGGTGTTATTAATTTACTTAGAACAAATATTTTGAATAAAACGAGGCAGTAAGTGGAGTTGATCTTGAAGGCTGGGAAAGAGAATTAGAAGATCTTGTAGAAATATCCTATGTATGTACGTTGTGAGACCACTGATGATCGTGTGATCCCTTTATTTGTCATACTCATGCAAAGCCTGGAAAGGGGACCCAAGGGCCATGAGGAGGCAGTGAGAACAGCGCTGTGAGAACAAGCATGGAACTGGACTTCGTGGTGGCCGGATTCCTGTCCTGGTTTTGCCACTAATAGACTTGTATGGCTTTTAAGTCACTTAACCTCCAGGCCTCCATGCTTTACCTACAAGAGGGTGAAGCCTTTATGATCTCTAAGGAAAGACTCCTTTCACTTTGGAGTATGTAGTAGTTTGCGTGTATGCCTGGTGATAATTTTATAGGATGGAGAGGTGCGCACCGACAGATGTGACTTTACCTCCATTCTTTGAGAGGTTGCTCGGATTCCATATATTCTGTAGATGGGGAAGAGCTTGGAGAACCCGGATAAGCAGTGACTTTTTACTGAGAGTGCACATGGACCTGGAACGTGAGAAAAGAAGAAATTGTCTCTTGGATCTCTTGGTAGTCATTTGGGTCTTTTCCAATTGGATTCTAGAAACTAAATCTCAAATGTAAAGTCCTTTAAAATGAACTCAGCTCTAGCCACAAAAAGTTTTCTCATGATTGAATCAGATAAATGACAGATTTTGCGGGGAGTGGGATTGGGTGGTAATTAATCAGGAATAAATACAGCTTCACACTCTAACATAGAAAATTTTTCTGTAGAACTTGTGAAGGGTCAGTACACTGGAATTAATTCCCAAAGAGAGATTAGGGATACAGTGGATGCAAATGAACCTGGTCCTGTTCCTATGGGTTGAAGAACTCGTCTCCAGTTAACCTCTGAGGGGTCTGTAGTGTATACCACATCTAAGATGTTGCCAGTGGGTAATGCTGGGAGAAGTAATGGTCAAACTGAATACTGGGCAGATATACCTGTGGGTTCAATTCATGTCTGTCATCACCTTTTGGCACTTTTGGTTCTTGTTTCTGTAGTGAATGAATTTGAATACTTAATGCTTGAAAGCACAGCATACAAGAAATATGTAAACACCTTAACCACCAAGCACCTGTTTTAGGTAAGGAAAATGGCAGAGGAATGTCCAGGTTGTTCAGGATGTGTCCTGGCAGATATAAAATAGCCTGGGGGCAGGTTGCTGTTGTGGGGAGGGAGAGAACAGATTCAGTGAACCGAGGAGGACATTTATATGGTTACTGATATTAAATGCCGTACATTTCTTACAGGTAGATGTGATTGATGGGAGTAATATGTTATACATTCACTGTCTTTTCATCCCCTTCTTTTAGTTAAAAAATTCACTAGGTTTTTTGGTGATTAGAACAATCAAATCAGGGATGCCTGGCTGACTCAGTCGAAAGAACATACGACTCCTGATCTCAGGGTTGTGAGTTCAAGTCCCACGTTGGGTGTAGAGATTACTTAAAAATAAAATCTTTAAAAAAAAACCCAATCAAATCAGCCTCCTGGATTAGTATTTATTACTATAAATCACTGTTTAGGGATAAGTGAAACTAAAGAGACATTGTTTTCTCCGTTGACTTACCCTTAGACCTGTTGGGTAGCATATAGGAGAATTAAAATCTGAGCCAAGTATTCATTTTTTGTCCTCTTTTCTAACTCTTTGAATTGTGTTCAAGCAATTAAAGACAGTCATAAATGTGGTCACCAAAATATTTAAATCAGACTTAACCTAACTATGGTTCATGACATTCAATTCTACCATACTCAAGAAAACTTAAGATGTAGTCTGAAATCATATACTGAGCAGAAAATGTTGTATGTGTGGGAGTAATTGGCTCAGCCAGGAAGGGAGCAATTGGGCAATCCATGTTAATTTTGGATTAACCTAGATTGTACCCGCATCGTGAACAATCTAAACTGAAGAGAATGCAATACACAGTCTGTGCTTGACAGGCAAGTCAGCACTGTTCGGAACTCACCACCTATTTGGCCCATTAACTCACATGAGTACAACCTCTATGAAGAACGAAGGGTTCCAGGGTCTAATACTTGTTGGGGACCTAATGGGCATACACTAAGGAGGAAGCACAAGAATGGAACTTGTCCAAGGTTACCAGCTTTGTCCCTCCAATCTTGAAGGTCCTGTCTAGGGGCTGACACTGCCTCTGCATGATGGAAATGGACCCAAATCCAAAGAGCAGGGGTGCACCAGGCATCCCAGGGTGGCCCTATCTGGCCTCAACCCTAGGAGAAGATCATCTTCAGCCTGGCCCTGTCCATTGAAGCAGAGGTCACACATGGCCATGATCCGGGAACACGATTCACTATTCTTGGAGAGTTTTCCAGTGGGGTCAAGACCCAAGGTCTAGCATACAGTAGGGAATTGGTGGCCAATTCTGGTGCTGACAAGATCTAGACATTCTTCGGCTGCCCGAGTTGGGTAAATTGGTAAGGGCCAGCAGCTACACAAAGTTTGTTTTCATAAGGCATCCTGAATCCTTAATTTTCACTCAATGAAACATCATGGTGTATTGAAACACACTATCTTTGTCGAAACATACATACAACATATCCCTTAATGTCCACTGTCAAGAGCTGGCTTTGGGACACCCATCTTAGGTTGCTTCTTTACAGATAGAAGGCTGTGACAGACACATGACTGATTTCAGTCAAGTTTCCTTTATGGGGAAAAACCTGCTATTTATAAAATTTACTATTTTGGTGATCAGCTTCTTGTCTCAAAATCGATGAGATTAATCTTCATTCTTTTGATTGTTACTTTTAACTAATTTCTTCAATACTGAAAATTGGATGCTCAGAAGGTAATGTTAAGAATATGCCAAATAACACCATCACTAATAGTTGTGAGAGAAATCAGATGAGCTTTTATATGCAACCTTATAAAAGGAGGCAAGATTTGCCTCATTTTTAGCTGGCACTGCTTTTGGTCTGCCAAGTAGTTAATATTTTAAACATTTAGTTCAGGGACTGCAATTTTTTAATTTCATTTTTTAAATTTAATTTTTAATTTATCTTTATTATTTCATTTTACTGTTATTTTTTTTTTTTTTACCCTCTCTGCTACTGGAAAAGTGAAAAGGACAATGTAGGGAGTTTTTCATGGAGATATATGTCTTTGATTTAAAAAAAAAAGCTATACCTTTTCCTGAGCCTGTAAGTTTCATGCCCCCCCCTTTTTTAAAGATTTTATTTATCTGACAGAGAGAGAGAGAATGCAAGAGAGCACAAGCAGGGAGAGCTGCTGAGGGAGAGGGAGAAGCAGGCTCCCCACTGAGCAGGGAGCCCAATGCGGGACTCGATCCCAGCACCCTGGGATCATGACCTGAGCCGAAAGCAGACGCTTAACTGACTGAGCCACCCAGGCGCCCCTGTTTCATGCCTTTTTAATCAAAAAGATTTTATTAATGTATGAAATCTCGAAGTCCCAGAAACCACTGTTTTGGAACATTTCTCTGACTCTTTCTCAGTCTTCATTTTATTAAGAGCAATTTTCTTTCTGAAACTGTATTCTTCTATCTACATAGAGACTTAAGTAAAGAGAGGGAGTATCTTTTTGGAAAAGAACTGTGATCGTTAGAAAGAATACTCTTAGTGTAACTGTATACACCAAAATGAAAAATCAAATAACAGTATCATATATCTCTATCTCATGTACACTTGACCTTTGTATTTTTTTAAGGTCCAAATATAACATGTGTTCCTCATTTTCTTTCCTTTGAGGATAGTTTTATGTTTCTCCTGAGTTTCTCTCTGAGTCCAGAAAGTTCACTTTTAATATCACTCATTTATAAATTAATTGGCCTCATATAATGTATCCATTGCTTTTGTTTTAGCTCTCTCAGGCCAGTGTGTTAAATTGTCAAGTGACAAAATGATGAAGCAATATGCACTGATTTAGAATCATTTAGAGAGTGTTCATATTTGTTTTCTTCACATATGTTTTTGCTTAGATAGCCCAGGATTTAAGAGAGTAGGAGTAAAGGGGGCCTCAAGAAAAATGCTGTTTTGGGGACTTCTCATCTTAAATATGATTTTACATCTATTTCTTAATTCTGAGGCAGAGTATCAGATAATGAAAGCAAAGCCTGGTAGGCTACAGGCTTCCCTGAAGCCATGGGTGTAAAAACATAAATTAAAACTTAAAAAGAAATCTATTTCTTAAAACCTCATAAATATTCTGATAAATTAAAAAAAAATATGTTGAAGACTGAGTTCCAATCACTAGTAAGAAAGGCTTATTACTGGCAACCTCACTCTCTTTTGGCTTTTTAAGCTACGAATGTCTTGAAGTAGAAAATATCTTGGAAGAGGCACCAAAGACTTGCCTCATAATAGAATAAATTAATCCTTAATGTCACTTGGATTGTACTTAAGGGCCACACAACCAGAAAGCCAGGCCCATTGTGTTGTTACTTAAAGGAAAAAGTCACCTTTTTTTAATTTTATTTTTACCTTGAGGAAGATACATTTGCTTGTAATAAAATTTTGTTAACAAAAAGAATGGGGAAGAGAAATG